AAAAAAAAAAAAAAAAAAAGAAAGAAAGAAAGAAACTTGGAGCCAGATGTGGTGGCTAATACCTGTAATACCAGCACTTTGGGAGGCCAAAGCAGGAAGATCAGATGAGCCCAGGAGTTTGAGACCAATCTGAGCAACATAACAAGACCCTGTCTCTACCAAAAATAAAAAAATTAGCTGAGTTTGAAAAATAATAAAATAATAGCTATAGTCCCAACTACTCAGGAGGCTAAGGCAGGATCGCTTAAACCCAGGAGTTTGAGGTTGCAGTAAGCTATGATGTCAGTGCACTTTAGCCTGGGCAACAAAGTAAGATCCTATCTCAAAAAAATAAAAAGAAGTATGAAGCTTGGAAAATATACCTTAAAATTTTTGTTACCAGATCGATGAAGTCCTGAGACAAGAAGATAAAGCTGAAGCCATGTCTGGCCATATTGATCAGTTTCTAATAGCCACGTTTATGCAGCTAAGACTCATCTACAACACACACATGGCAGATGAGAAATTGGAGAAAGATGAGATCATCAAGTTGTATAGCTGTATAATTGGCAACATGATTTCGGTAAGGGTACCTCTGCAGAACCTTGAACTTCCCGTCAATCTCTCATTCCACCTGGGTTCTAAAGCCAGAGTCCAAAAAATAGCTGGGCAGATGTACAGATGTTTCACTGAGTCTTATGTCACCTGGTAGAATTTTACATGCTTTGTATAGTTACCAGTTATACCTCCAGTGGATATTGGGCTATATGCTGGCTTACTGTTTCAGTTTTTGGCCGGGACTGATGTGAACCCGCCACCTCCAGTATATGGGGCCGTTGCCCTACTCCTTTGAGCCATAGGCACCGCCCTTTTTTTTTTTTTTTTTTTCTGGGCTTACTTTATTTTTAGGATATAAAGTAAAATGTTGTGCTGGGCATGGTGACTCATGCCTATAATTCTAGCACTCTGGGTGGCTGAAGCTGGTGGATTGCCTGAGCTCACAGGTTCAAGACCAGCTTGAACAAGAGTGAGACCCCATATCTAAAAATAGCCAGGCATTGTGGTGGGTGCCTATAGTCCCAGCTTCTGGGGAGACTGAGGCAGGAGAATTGCTTGAGCCCAAGAATTTGAGGTTGCTATGAGCTATCAGGCCATGGCACTCTACTGAGGGCAACAAAGTGACACTGTCTCAAAGAGAAAAGGACAGTGTTTACAGACAACTTAGAATTCTGTTCTTCATTACTAATGATAGGCCGTACCGGGCTTTTCACAGATTAGTGTGCTTACATTAAAAATACTAATTACTTGGGAGGCTGAGGCAAGAGAATCACTTAAGCCCAAGAGTTTGAGGTTGCTGTGAGCTATGATGCCACAGCACTGCACTGAAGGTGCTATAGACTATCTCAAAAATAAATAAATAAAAATAAAAATCCTAATTACCGGGCAGTGCCTGTGGCTCAAGGAGTAGGGTGCTGGCCCTATATGCTGGAGGTGGCGGGTTCAAACCCAGCCCCAGCCAAAAACTGCCCCCAAAAAAATCCTCATTATCCTGATTTGATCATTATATACATATTGAAATATCTCTCAGTATCCTATAAATATGTATAGTTATTTAGCTCTAAAGCAGATTATAAGGATAATAAAGACATTCCTTCTCTGCATTTCAGTATGCTTTCTTAAGTTGGGGAAAAAAGAGTAGGATTATGGTGCCAAAAAAATTGAATATTTACCAGAATATGTCATTCACATTTATCTTCTTTACTCTCTATGTTAAGTTTTATACTTCCCTAACATTTGTGTCTGGATAGCTATTTCAGATAGAGAGCCTGGCCCGAGAGGCATCCACTGGAGTACTGAAAGACCTAATGCACGGCCTCATCACCTTAATGCTGGATTCTCGGATTGAAGATCTAGAGGAAGGACAGCAAGTAATTCGCTCTGTGAACCTCTTGGTGGTAAAGGTTCTGGAGAAGTCAGACCAGACCAACATCCTAAGGTACTCTCAGCCAGGAGGGTGGGGCATCCTCTCTTTTGTCTCCATGTGAAAACTAGATCAGTGGTAACTTTAGATTTCCCCAATAAGGTGCTTTATTATTTTTTCCTTCCTCATGGACCAAAGTTATTTCAGCCTGAGACAATAGCTAAAACTAGTAACTTTTTAGTAAGCCAACCAACATGAATTTTCTAGAATAGGACTGTAAAGTTTGTCAGGTACATCTTCTTTTGTATACATTTCAGATCCATTTTTTGTTTTCTCAGCTACCAATGACAATGAAAAATAGAGAGATAGGCTCGGTGCCTGTGGCTCAAGTGGCTAAGGCGCCAGCCACATACACCTAAGGTGGTGGGTTCGAATCCAGCTCGGACCCGCCAAACAACAATGACGGCTGCAACCAAAAAGTAGCCAGACGTTGTGGCGGGCGCCTGAGGTCCCAGCTACTTGGGAGGCAGAGGCAGGAGACTCGCTTGAGCCCAGGAGTTGGAGGTTGCTATGAGCTGTGAAGCGACAGCACTCTACCCAGGGGGACAGCTTGAGGCTCTGTCTCAAAAAAAAAGAAAAATAGATAAACTTTACCACTTACAAGTGGTAAAAGCTTAAATGATATTTATTTTCTTAACTGAATGTCAGCTAGTCCAAAATAATTCCTGACCTGTGAACGCTTAAGTTTATCAGGTTTATAGGGAGTAATCACACTTGAACTTTCAATGTTAGTACTGATTTTAATTGGAATGCAGATTTGAAGCTGAATGCTGTTTTGTTTTGTTTTTTTCCAGCGCCCTACTTGTTTTGCTTCAGGACAGCCTGCTAGCAACAGCCAGTTCTCCCAAATTCTCAGAGCTTGTTATGAAGGTGAAGTTAAAATGATTTGATTTTTCTTTCAAAGACGCGATTATTTTGTTAAAGTGTGGAGGAAAAGGAGTGGGAGCTAAGAAAGACATAGGCTTAAATCAGCAAATTCACATCTGAAAAATATAATTGGTCTTCAATTTTCCCTCCTCCAGTTTATACCCCAAATTTGGGCCTAAACAATTTTTAAACGCCTATAGCCAGTGGTCACAGTGACAGCTTGAGGCCAGGCATTCAAGTGCAGTCTACCAGGGGCAATAAAGTGAGACTCTGTCTCCAAAAAAAAAAAGTTTAATTAAATATATAACAGCCTACAGCACCTGATATACCTGATATCCCCAGGTGGTTTGCCGTCCAAATAACTAGTGAGGCCCAATCCTGTTTATCTCCTGAGATCAGATGAGATTGGGTATGTTCAGGGTGGTATTGGCCATAGACTCAGGCCCAAATGACTCTTAGCCTCAAATAATGAAAAGGAGGTGCTGCTCTGTAAATATTTCACCATTTCTTTCCCTAGACTTGGAAGTTGAGAAGTTTGATGAGACAGACTTCATTTGTTTGGGGGAAAAAGATATATATAGCCCTATAATATCTTGGCCTTAGTAGACCATTGTAATACTGTTATTATACTGTAGTACTGTAAGACATTTTGCCCCCTCAGCTTAGATTTGGCTGAGCACTATGAACTACTCTACCAACAGTGACAACTGCAACAACAACAACAACAACAAAAATAGCTGGGCGTTGTGGCGGGCACCTGTAGTCCCAGCTACTTGCGAGGCTGAGGCAAGAGAATCGCTTGAGCCCAAGAGTTTGAGGTTGCTGTGAGCTATGACACCATGGTACTCTACCAAGGGTGACATAGTAAGACTCTGTCTCAAAAAAAAATTTTTTTTTCTTATTTTTTCATGTTTTAGCAGCTGAACTTGAAGTACATGCTGTACCACATTTATATCCCTGGCCATCTTTTAGAAGTGAGCCCAGGCTCGGCGCCTATAGCTCAACCGGCAAAGGCGCCAGCCACGTACACCTAAGGTGGCGGGTTCGAATCCCCAGCCCGGACCCGCCAAACAACAATGACAGCTACAACCAAAAAAATAGCCGGGCGTTGTGGCGGGTGCCTGTGGTCCCAGCTACTTGGGAGGCGGAGGCAGGAGACTGCTTGAGCCCAGGAGTTGGAGGTTGCTGTGAGCTGTAATGCCACGGCACTCTGCCCAGGGGGACAGCTTGAGGCTCTGTCTCAAGAAAAAAAAAAAAAAAAAAAAGAAGTGAGCCCAGAGTTTGGGGAAGATAAATTGTGATAAATTATCATCATTCTTCAATCAATCCTAACTCTTATTTCTTTTTTTTAATAGTGTCTCTGGAGAATGGTTCGATTATTGCCTGATACTATCAATAGCATTAACCTGGATAGAATTCTGCTGGATATTCACATTTTTATGAAGGTCTTTCCCAAAGAAAAACTGAAACAATGCAAAAGTGAATTTCCCATAAGGACCTTAAAAACACTGCTGCATACCTTGTGCAAATTAAAAGGGCCCAAGGTGAGTGAGAACAGCAACTGGTGACTAAGGGAACTTGGAATAAGAAACATGGAAATGGCATTGCTACTCTTTGAATGTGCATGTGTCTCTCAGATCCTAGACCACCTAACGATGATTGACAACAAGAATGAGTCAGAGCTGGAGGCCCATCTCTGCCGGATGATGAAGCACAGCATGGACCAGACTGGGAGCAAGTCTGAGAAGGAAACAGAAAAAGGAGCATCTCGACTAGTGAGTGGCCTGACTTGGAAGATTAAGGGAATTGAGGTTGTGCTGGAAGTGCTTTTGTCTAAGATATGGGTTGTCTGGAGATCATTTTTCTGAAGACCCAACGTTAAGGCTCAGGGATTGGTCTAATCAGTCTCCTTCTGTGGCTCAGTAGCCATTTTTTACCTTGAAATTTTTTAATGGAAACTAATTAAAACCATGTCCTTCTTGATCCCTAAGAAACGTCCCTAAAGCATTGGTCACCAGATAAATCCAAGGTGAGCTTGCTCTGTTTATTTGGGGAGGAATGGCCCAATTCCTCTTCCATCAAGTTGAGGTGAAAAGCTAGCTAAGAGCAGAGACATTCAGTAACCCAGAATGTTAATGTTTCTGCTGCACTTGATACAGCACTGGTGGTTCTATCATCTCCAGGAACATTCCAGTAAGGCCTAGGTTCTGAGATATGTTCTGTTCATATCATCAATTCCTTATCTCTTTGAACTTTTCAGGATGAAAAGTCATCAAAGGCTAAAGTGAATGATTTCTTAGCTGAGATTTTTAAGAAGATTGGCTCTAAAGAGAACACTAAAGAGGTGAGAGTGAAAGGGTTAAGCAGAACTGGGATCTGCTTTGTGGAAAAGGGACACTAACATCTATCCCTGCCTCTTTTTCTTGTTCACCAGGGCCTAGCAGAGTTATATGAATATAAGAAGAAATATTCAGATGCTGATATTGAACCATTTCTGAAAAATTCCTCACAATTCTTCCAGAGCTATGTTGAGAGGGGTCTTCGGGTGATTGAGATGGAGAGGGAGGGCAAAGGCCGTATTCCCACTTCAACAGGTATAGTTTCCTTTAGTAGCTCCAGGAATAAGCTCAAAGCAGCTTGCAGCTCAGGAACTTAAAGTTTTGGTTGGTTTAAATTATATGCATGAAGCTCAGTACTTAATGGTTGTTGTTGATCTTCACATTGCTACATTGAAGGGTCAATTCTCAGTTATCCATTATTAGTATTTGACGATGGTATATGTTTACTGCCCTTAGGACAATTTCTTCACCTGGTTTCCAATTCTCCGTGCTATCTTGGTTTTCTTCTGGCCTCATTGACTCTTCCTTCCTGGCCTTTGATTAATTCTTTTTCTCCCTGACTCCTTCCCTCCCTTTTCCTTCCCTCTCTCTCTGACTCCTTCCCTGCCTTCTTTCCCTTCTTCCCTTTCTCCCTACCTTCCTTTCCCTTCCTCCTTCCCTCCCTCCCCTCCCTCCTCTCCCTCCTCTTCCTCTCTTCCCTCTTTCCCTGCCTTCCTCCTTTCCTTCTGATAGGGTCTTACTCTGCTGCCAGGCTAGAGTGCAGTGGCACCATTGTAGCTCACTGCAACTTTGAATGAATGCCTAGGCTTAAGTGATCCTCCTGCTTCAGTCCCATGCATCTGGGACTACAGTGCATGCCACCATGTCTGGCTAATTAATTTTTTTTTTTTTTTTTTTTTGAGACAGAGCCTCAATCTGTCCCTCTGGGTAGAGTGCTGTGGCATCACAGCTCACAGCAACCTCCAACTCCTGGGCTCAAGCGAGTCTCCTGCCTCACCCTCCCAAGTAGCTGGGACCACAGGCACCCACCACAATGCCTGGCTATTTTTTGGTTGCAGCCGCCATTGTTGTTTGGCAGGCTCGGGCTAGATTCGAACCCACCACCTTAGATGTACTGTGGCTAGCCAGAGTACATCTTAGCCACTTGAGCCATAGGTGCCGAGCCTAAATTTCTATTTTTTATAGAGACAAGGTCTTGCTGTGTTGTCCAAACTGGTCTCAAACCCCTAGCCTCAATCAGTCCTCCCAGCTTAGCCTGTAACATGTCAAAACCGCCTGATTTGGGTCAGCACCTGTAGCTCAAGGGGCTAGGTGCCAGCTACATGCACCAGAGATGATGGGTTCAAGCTCTGCCCAGACCTACCAAACAACAATGACAACTACAACTAAAAAATAGGTAGGTGTTGTGGCAGGGACCTGTGGTCCCAGCTGCTTGAGAAGCTAAGGCAGGAGAATTGCTTAAGCCCAGGAGTTTGAGGTTGCTGTGAGCTATGACATTACAGCACTCTGTGGAGGGCGACACAATGAGACTCTGTCTCAAAAACAAACAAACAAAAAAACACCCTCCTGATCCTCCCCCAAACATTCTCCATTTATATTCTTCACGTTCTCCATTTATATTCTCAAAGCTTTTGAGTCTTCTCTTTATCAGGAAAGCCTTTTGGCTCTACCTGCTAACTATATGCAGAATCTACCCCCACTTCTCATCTTCACAGCTCCCACCTTAGTCTAGACATTGTCTCTCATCTGGGTTATAGCGTTATCTCCCTACCTTATCACTCTTGCCTATCTCTATGCATTTCTGCACAGAGGATCAAAATGACTCCTCAGCTATTTGCCAGAAACTCTCTCTTGTTCCACTAAAGCAAAAAACTTACTATGTCTCTGAATTCCCTTATTACGTGGCCTGTTGATTTTTTTTTTTTTTTTTTGTAGAAACAGAGTCTTACTTTATCACCCTCAGTAGAGTGCCATAGCGTCACACAGCTCACAGCAATCTCCAACTCCTGGGCTTAGGCGATTCTCTTGCCTAGCCTCCTGAGTAGCTGGGACTATAGGCGCCCACCACAACGCCCAGCTATTTTTTGTTGCAGTTTGGCCAGGGCTGGGTTTGAACCCACCACCCTCAGTATATGGGGCCGGCGCCCTACCCACTGAGCCGCCTGTTGCCCCAACCTATTGATACTTTTAAGGACCTAACCTCCTACTCTCTCCATTGTCACTCCACCCCAGCCCCACCAGCCCTCTTGCTATTTCTGGAGCACACTAGGCATTGCACTGGCTATTTCTTAGACTGTTCTTCCCAAGATGGCCTCTTGACTAGCTCCCTTTACTGTTTCAGATCTTTATTCAGATGGCACCATCTGAATGAGATTTTTTTTTTTTTTTTTGTAGGGAAGGTCTTTATTGGTGGGGAAGGGAGGCTGCAGAGCAGCACCAAGGAGGAGAGAAAAAGAGAAGAGAAAAGAAGAGAGAAAAGAGGGGAGAGAGATGAGGAGAGAGAGGGAGAGCAGAGAAGGGAGAGGCGGCGGGGGGCGAGATTTTTTTTTTTTTTGAGATAGAGTTTCACTTTGTCGCCCCCTATAGAGTGCTGTGTCATCACAGCTCACAGCAACCTCAAACTCTTGGGCTTAAGTGATTCTCTTTTTTGTTGTTGTTGTAGTTTTTGTCCAGGGCTGGGTTCGAACCCGCTTGGCACATGGGGCCAGCACCCTACTCCTTGAGGCATAGGTGCCGCCCTTAAGTGATTCTCTTGCCTCAGCCTCCCAAGTAGCTGGGACTACATGTGCCTGCCACAACGCCCAGCTATTTTTTTGTTGTTGTAGTTATAATTCTTATTTTTTAGCAGGCCCGTGCCAGGTTCAAACCCACCAGCCCCAGTGTATGTGGCCGGCACCCCAACCACTGAACTATGAACGCCAAGCCAATGAGATATTATTCTAAACCTATAACCTCCCCCCTCACCTCACCATAGCACTTACCACCTCTAACATATTAAGCTGTTCGGCATCTGTCTCTGCTAGAATTTGAAATCCACAAGGGGAGCGGTTTTTATCTGTTTTGTTGCCTAGCACATAGTAAGCATTCAATAGGTCTAGTCAAGTGCTTCATAACAATGTTTTGGTCAAGATGGACCACATATATGGTGGTGGTCCCATATGATTGCTAATGGAACTGAAAAATTCCTAGCACCTAATGCCATCATAGTCACCATAATGTTGTAGCACAGTTATTGTACTTTTTGTATATTTAGTGGAGCCTAGGTGTACAGTGTATATAAAGTCTAGTGTATAGTAATGTTGTAGGCCTTCACATTCTCTCACCACTCATTCATTAAGGTACCTAGAGCAACTTCCAGTCCTACAAGCTTCATTTATGGTAAGTGCCTATACAGTTGTACCGTTTTTTAGTTTATACAGTATTTTATGTCCTTTAGAAACACAAATACTCACCGTTAGGTCACAGTTGCCTATAGTACTTAGTCCAGTAACACGTTGTACAGCTCTTAGGACCAGTAAGCCAGCCGGTATAGCCTAGGTGTGTAGTAAGCTTCACCATCTAGGTTTGTGGGACTGCACTCTACTGTGTTTGCTCATGACAAAATTGCCTTACAATGATTTCAGAACTTGTCTCCAGCATTAAGCAATTCCTGACTGTATTTGTTCAATGATATGAATAAATGGTATAACTAAATTTAAGCTGAAATATTACTGTTCCCACAATGAAAACAACATTGAAAATTACTACTGACAAGATCTAGAGACAAATGAAAGACTTTAGGAGGTTTCTATTTATAGAAAATAGATGGCAGGACCCGTAAGCAAAGAAAAGAAAGATTCATCTGCAAAAATCCCCTCTCATCAGCCCTGTGTTTAGTTCTTTCTGCGTTCAGTGAAGCTCACCTATTCTTAAACATTTGAGAGTTTGCCCATAAAAGTGCCTTGCTCTGTGGGCGGCGCCTATGGCTCAGTGAGTGGGGCGCTGGCCCCATATACCAAGGGTGGCAGGTTCAAGCGCGGCCCCAGCCAAACTGCAACAACAATAAAAAAAGAAATAGCTAGGCATTGTGGTGGGCACCTGTAGTCCCAGCTACTTGGGAGGCTGAGGCAAGAGAATCATCTAAGTCCAGGAGTTGGAGGTTGCTGTGAGCAACAACCAGCACAACAACCAGTGCTGTAATGCCACAGCACTCTACAGAGGGTGACAAAGTGAGACTCTGTCTCTAAAAAAAAAAAAAGCCACTCTGTGGTTTTCAGGTAACAATCATATTCCCTCACAACACATCTTGTTAGGCCAAAGCTTCAGTTCAATCGTATTCTCTTAAACAGTTGGATTTTTTTTTTTTTTTTTTGAGACAGAGCCCCAAGCTGTCCCCCTGGGTAGAGTGCCGTGGCATCACAGCTCACAGCAACCTCCAACTCCTGGGCTCAAGCGAGTCTCCTGCCTCCGCCTCCCAAGTAGCTGGGACCACAGGCGCCCGCCACAACGCCCGGCTATTTTTTGGTTGCAGCCGTCATTGTTGTTTGGCGGGCAGGTCAGGGCTGGATTCAAACCCGCCACCCTGGGTGTACGTGGCTGGCGCCTTAGCCAGTTGAGCTACAGGCGCTGAGCCAACAGTTGGATTTTTTTTAAGCACCTTAAATTAGCCTTATCCAAGACCTTAAGTTTTTTTTTTTTAATTTGAGAGAGAGACTCACTCTGTCACACTGGGTATATTGGTGTGGCATCACCTTAGCTCAACAACCTCAAATTCTTGGGCTCAAGGTATCCTCCTGCCTCACTCTTCCAAGTAGCTGGGACTACAGGCACCTGCCACAATGCCTGGCTAATTTTTCTATTTTTAGTAGAAACCGGGTCTTGCTCTTTCTCAGGCTGGTCTTGAACTCCTGAGCTCAAGACACCCACCTGCCTCAGCCTCCCAGAATGATAGGATTATAGATAGATGTGAACCCCCATACCTGGCCCAAAATCTTTTTCTTGATGCATGGTGAGAAAAATGTCAAACATTATTCCATGCATGGACATACCTTGGTTTATTTGATCAGGACAGACATCCTTATTTCCAAAGTCCTTTCTGGTAATATACAGCATCCTTTTTCCCCTAGAGTAACCAATTTTGCTTTTCTATTTACCATAAGGCAGTTTCCCTCCCAGCATCTTATTTCTTGGGCCTAATGCATTTTCATTGCTATCAAATTAGGATTTTTTGTTTGTTTGTTTATTTGTTTTTAGAGACAGAGTCTCAAGCTGTCGCCCTGGGCAGAATGCCATGGCATCATAGCTCATAGCAACCTCAAACTCTTGAACTCAAGCAATCTTCTTGCCTCAGATTTTCTATTTTTAGTAGAGATGGGGTCTCGCTTTTGCTCAGGCTGGTCTTGAACTCGTGATCTCAAGCAATCCATCCACCTTGGCCTCCCAGAGTGCTAGGATTATAGGCATGAGCCATCACGCCTATTTTAAATGTCTGGATTTTATGATTGTTCCTTGTCAAAAATCTAGGAACTGTGGTGGATTTGTTGTTAGTTTTTATTTAGTTTTTGGTGTTCTCCTAATATTGACCTTAGTGGGGATATAGGTAGATTCCTGAACCTCTTTTATTTTTTTTAATTTTTTTTTTTTTTTTGAGACAGAGTTTTACTATGTCACCCTTGGTAGAGTGCCGTAGCATCACAGCTCACAGCAACCTCAAACTCTTGGGCTTGAGCCGCTCTTGCCTCAGCCTCCCAAATAGCTGAGACAGGCATGCGCCACAACACCCAGCTACTTTTTTTAATTGTCGTTGTCATTATTGCTTGGCAGACTGGGGCCGGGTTCGAACCCACCAGCCCCTGTGTATGTGGCCAGCACCCTGGCCACTGAGCTACAGGTGCCAAGCCTCCTGTTCCTCTTTAAATGTTTGTGGAACAACAGCTCAATTTCTCCCACTCTTCTCCATGAATACATTGTAGTCTTGAGCTCCTTGGTTCCATCACAAGTTGAATGAGAGCTTGCCCCTGAACTAAATCTAATCCAGTTCTTATGAACATTTAAGGTCCTTGGATTTTTCAGTTGGGTAATTACAGTATCCTTAGGAGTAGTTTTAGGTTTTTTAGATTGCTCACAGCAGCCCTGGGATTACTAGAACACAGTGCCCCATGTAACCCAGGATATACTGTAGATGGATGGCCCATTCTGCCTTGCTGTACCAAGTTTTGAAATTCTCATGAAACTTAAGTATTTCAGAGCTTCCTTTATTACTCACTCCAGGTGGATTCTTGTGGATTTTTTTGTTTTCAAGGTCAATGGCAATATTCAAGCCTAGGAAATTCTTTTTTATTTTTTGAGATAGAGTCTCAAGCTATCGCCCTGGGTAGAGTGCTGTGGTGTCACAGCTCACAGCAACCTCAAACTCTTGGGCTTAAGCTATTCTCTTGCCTCAGCCTCCCAAGTAGCTGGGACTACAGGCGCCTGCCACAATGCCTGGCTATTTTTTTTGTTGTTGTTGTAGTTGTCATTGTTGTTTTAGCTGGCCCAGGAAGAGTTTGAACCTGCCAGCTTCAGTGTATGTGGCCGGTATCCCAACCACTGTATTATGGGTGTTGCCAAGCCCAGGAAATTCTTAATTGTGCTGTTTGGTGGCAGATTAACTAAGGCAGTTTATGTGTATGTGGAGTATGTGTATATCTGAATGTTATTTCTACATTTTCCTCTCCAGGCATCTCCCCTCAGATGGAAGTCACGTGTGTACCCACTCCCACAAGCACAGTGTCCTCCATAGGTAACACAAATGGAGAAGAGGTGGGACCTTCTGTCTACCTAGAAAGGTTAAAGATCCTCCGGCAGCGATGTGGTCTAGATAATGCAAAGGTATTGCTCCTTTCCTTCTGCACGGGGCAGGGAGGGCAGTGACAAGCAGATTGGGACAGGCGGGCCCTCAGAGAAGTGGCTAAGTCTTGGTGCACGTTGTGGAGCTGCATCTTGACCTGCTTGACCTCATCTGAGACCGTGTCTCCTCTTCTCTCAATAGCAGGATGACCGACCTCCACTGACCTCATTGCTCTCCAAACCAGCAGTTCCTACTGTCGCCTCCTCCACAGACATGCTGCACAGCAAACTCTCTCAGCTCCGAGAGTCACGGGAGCAGCACCAGCATTCAGACCTGGATTCTAACCAGACTCACTCTTCAGGAACCATGACCACATCTTCCTCCTCCACAGCTAACATTGATGACTTGAAAAAAAGACTAGAGAGAATAAAGAGCAGTCGCAAATGAAGCTGCCCTGTTCCCCTGGCACCCTGCAGCTTTAGTTTACTAAACTAGAAGTCCTCATAGTTTAAAGTGGCCTCGGCAGGCCTAGTGTACACAAACTGGTTGTATGTATCATGCCGTGGAGCTGGGGGAGGAGTCGTGTGGCACAAGCATTTGCACATACTCTACTTCTCTCCCTCAGCGTCCCGCCATTCTAGAAGACTGTCTGTGGGTTAGTTTAGTGTACAGACTTGTAAACAGCTGCCTTCCTCTCAGCTCAGACTAGTTTCCAGATCCTTTTTTGTTTATTTGATTTTTATTTTCTCATTTGTAAAATTGTCCTAATCTTTCTTAGCTTTTAACTGTTAGAAACTCTTTACTAGTTTTCCTTTCATTTTGTGAGCTCTTCTCCCTGTCACCCCTGAGGGTCACTGTATTCTGTATGAATGCATGGCATGATACAACTAATTTAAGAGTCTTTTATAAATAAAGTTTGCATTAACTATACCTGTCTCCCAAGATACTCCATATTTGGGAGTGTTGAGCAGTTCTTTCTCTCGTCTATTTTGGTAGCAGTTGGGTATTGAGCCAGTTAAAGGTTATTTATGGGGCTCTTATGGAGCTTCACTTTTGCTTGACTGATGGCCATGGAGCTCTTTTATTCCTTTGGAATAGAAGGAACTTGCCTTTCCTGTGTTCCACATGTAGCTCCTATAGGAGCAAAATCTCATCCTTCCCTGTTTTGAGATTTTTTTTTGCTGGGGCCGGGTTTGAACGCACCACCTCGGGTATCAGGGGCCGGTGCCCTACTCCTTGAGCCACAGGCACCACCCATATTTATCTTTTTTTTGAGACAGTGTCACTATGTCACCCTTGGTAGAGTGCTCTGGCATCACAGCTCACAGCAACCTCAAACTCTTGGGTTTAAGTGATTCTCTTGCCTCAGCCTCCCAAGTAGCTGGGACTACAGATGCCTGCCATAACACCCAGCTATTTTGTTGTTGTTGTCATTGTTGTTTAGCAGACCCAGGCCGGTTTTGAACTCACCAGCCCCAATGCATGTGGTTGGCACCTGAGCTACAGGTGCCACGCCCTGTTTTGAGATTTTGGTCATGACTTCCGTCCCATCATCACTGATGATTCCAAGGAGCTCTTAGGCATTCTACCACTGTGCTGCCCAAATGCGTTCAAGATTCACCTCAGGATTATCTAGGCCACAGTGGTTGTCATGCTGTAACTGGACTTGGATTCATTTGACCAATGGAGTTTGGGAAAGCTTAGTAGTTTCCTGCCTGGATATCTTGAGTTTCTTTTGGCCCAGACTAATGGTTGCTTTGCATACAGTCTGAGGAAGGACCAAAAAGTCAACTGAGTATTCACCTATGCAATAAACTCCACATTTAGAAAAATTCTTAAATGGCCAGGCATTGTGACGGGCGCCTGTAGTCCCAGCTACTTGGGAGGCTGAGGCAGGAGACTCGCTTGAGCCCAGGAGTTGGAGGTTGCTGTGAGCGTGATGCCATGGTACGCTACCCAGGGTGACAGCTTGAGGCTCCGTCTCAAAAAAAAAAAAAAAAAGAAAAATTCTTCAGGATGAAGAGGTTCTTTTTGTTTTTATGACAAAGATGTTATAGATTGAGGGGGAGATTTTTGGGGGCAGTCGTATAATTCAAAGGAACATTTCTCTCATAGCTCACCTTTTTTTTTTTTTTTTTAAACTGGAAAAGTGTCTTTATTGGCTGGGCAGCCTACTTGAGGAGAATGAAACGGAAGGAGCGGGTGGCCCCAAGGCCAGGCCAACCGTGCTAGACAGGGTTGTAGGTGATGGAGAACCCCTCTAGGTAGTGACCAATCATCTCAGGCTTGATCTCCACCTGGTTGAAGGGCTTGCCATTGTAGACACCCAACATGCTGCCCACCATTTCAGGTAGGATGCTCATGTCCCGCAGGTGTGTCTTCACAACCTCTGGCTTCTCCATGGGTGGAACCTCCTTCTTGGCCTTACCCAAGTGCTTCAGCAGTGAGTGCTGGCAGGCACTGTAAAGCTGCATCAGCTGCTCATAGGACATATCCAGCAACTGATCAAGATCCACACCACGGTAGGTGAACTTGCAGAAGGTCCACCGCTTCTTTTGCTCCACTTCTGCCATCTTATTGCCTTCTCTCAGCCTACCTTTTATTCAAGAAATAAAAGATTGAAGCCAGGCATGGTGGCTCATACCTGTAATACTAGCACTCTGGGAGACCAAGGGAGGCAAATTACTTGAGCTCTGTTCAAGACAAACCTGAATAAGATAGAGACCCTATATCTACAAAAAATAGAAAAACTACCAAGGCATTGTGGGTAGTCCCAGCTACTCAGGAGGCTGAAGCAAGAGGATCACTTGAGCCCCAAGAGTTTGAGGTTGCTGTGAGCTATAATGCCATTGCACTTTACCCAGGACAACAGATTGAGACTCTGTCTCAAAAAAAAAAAAAAAAAAGAAATGAAAGACTGAAAATAAATGCTCTGGCTTGGCACCTATAGCTCAAGTGGCTAAGATGCCAGCCACATACACCAGAGGTGGTGGGTTTGAATCCAGCCCAGGCCTGCCAAACAACAATGACAACTACAATCAAAAAATAGCCAGACGTTGTGGCAGCCACCTGTAGTCCCAGCTACTTGGGAGGCCGAGGCAAAAGAATCACTTAAGCCGAGGAGTTAGAGGTTGCTGTGAGCTGTGACACAACAGCACTCTACCCAAGGCGACAGCTTGAGGCTCTGTTTCAAAAAGAAAAAGAAAGAAAGAAAATGAATCCTTTATTAGTTTTCTATCAAATGAATCCTCTGTTGGTTTTCCAGGCATTGTTTTCAGGTGGCCCCTGCACCTCCTGAAATTTAAACTTGCCTCTCAAGACAGGAACATGGGAGAGGGTATGTGTTTACTGAAGGGAAGATGGGCGAGATCATTACTACACTACAAGGACATATTTAGAAAGTGTGGCTGTGCTCAGGGTTAGAAATAGCACAGCTAATTTGAAAAACTCAAGTGCCGGCTCGGCGCCTGTGGCTCAAGCTGCTAAGGCGCCAGCCACATACACCTAAGGTGGCGGGTTCGAATCCCCAGCCCAGGCCCGCCAAACAACAATGATGGCTGCAACCCAAAAATGGCCAGGTGCTGTGGCGGGCGTCTGTAGTCTCAGCTACTTGGGAGGCTGAGGCAGGACACTCGCTTGAGCCCAGGAGTTGGAGGTTGCTATGAGCATGATGCCATGGCACTCTGCCCAGGGGGATAGCTTGAGGCTCCATCTCAAAAAAAAAAAAAAAAAGAAAAACTCAAGTGCCCAGAGTTTATGGCACTGACAGCTATGATGCAGCAAAACAGTTTTGTAAGATTGTGCGCCCTTGTTTAATAAGCAGGTTCTGGGTGCTAACTAATTCTTAATCCCTTCCCTTGTTCTGGTTAAAGCTCTGACTGCCAAGATCCTGCAAGCTCAACAGAATTTCCAGTTTTTACCTTCTGTTCCAATCAACCAGAACCAAAGAATGGGACAATGTTCTAGCTTTCTATTCCCTGAAAAATGAGGAAGAAAGGCAGGGAGGAGGGGGGGTGCAATGGTTCATGCTTGTAATCCTACACTCTGGGAGTCTGAGGCAGGTGGATTGCTTGAGCTCATAAGTTCAAGACCAGCCTGAGTAAGTGCAAGACCATCTCTAAAAAATAGCTGGGCGTTATGACAGGCGCTTGTAGTCCCAGCTACTCAAGAGACTGAGGCAAGAGGATTACTTGAGTGTTGAGTGCATGAATTTGAGATTGCTGTTAGCTATGACAACACAGCACTCTAGTGAGACAATCTTAAAAAAAAGAAAAAACAGGAAAAAAGGGGAGGGGAGGGGCTAAATGTAAAGATCCTAGGCCAGAAGCAGTCACCACATGGCATCTGCTCCATTCTTGATATCCTAAGGTCAAAGCAGGCATTCTTCACTCTTCCCCTGAGCTCAGGAGGGAGACATCTCAACACGGTCCTCCAGACAGCCATGCTCCATCCCCTACCAGTGACCTGTGCCAATAGTAACCTTGAAGAACATGCTCTGAAGTTCTATGACACATAATGTTTAAGTTTGTTCAAATTATGAATCCATTTATATACCCCTCGAGGTATCATTTCTTGGAAAAAATTGCTCCAGTCTGATAACTGCTTCTTGAGGGAAAATTCCAGGAAGCAACAATGTATGGTCTATTTGCAGGCACCAGAGGAGGGAGATCAGTGGCAGAACAACTTTGAGCAGCCAGGCCAGATGCCCAGTCCAGTCACCAGGCATAGTGAGAATCCAAGTGGGAGCGCTGTATGGAAAGCTTCCTGGGGTTCTAGGCACTGTGTTAAGCACACTAAGTTCTCTTCCTCAATCCTCATAACCTGACGAGGTAAGTAATGTCATCATGCACATCTTTTATAACATACAATGGGCCCTTCATATCCGTGAGTTCTGTATCTCAGATTCAACCAACTATAGGTTGAAAATATTTGGGGTGGGGAGGCTCAGCGCCTGTAGAACAGTGGTTACAACACCCACCAATTATACCAAGGCTGGCGGGTTTGAACCCAGTGTGCTAAACAACAAAGAAAACTGCCACAAAAAATAGCCAGGCACTGTGGCGGGCGCCTGTGGTCCCAATTACTTGGGAAGCTGAGGCAAGAGAATCTCTTAAGCCCAGGAATTTGAGGTTAGTGTGAGCTGTGACACCATGGCTCTCTACGGAAGGTGACATAGTGAGACTCTGTCTCAAAAAAAAAAAAAAATAGGGGGTGCCTGTGGCTCAGTGGGTAGGGCGCCGGCCCCCATATACCAAGGGTGATGGATTCAAACCTGGCCCCAGCCAAACTGCAACAGAAAAATAGCCAGACATTGTGGCGGGCGCCTGTGGTCCCAGCTACTCGGGAGGCTGAGGCAAGAGAATGGCCTAAGCCCAGGAGTTGGAGGTTGATGTGAGCTGTGACAAAGGTGATAAAGTGAGACTCTGTCTCTATAAAAAAAAAAATAATAATACAAAACAATAAAAATACACAAAAACAAGACAATTATTTACATAGCAATTACTTATATTAAATATATAAGAAATCTATAGATGACTTAAAGTATGCAGGAGGATGTATGTAGGTTATTTACAAATACTATGCCATTTCATTTAAGGGTTTTGAGCATATATGGAGTTTGGAATCCGTGGGGCTTCCTGGAAACAAGCCCCATGGATACACCAAAGAATGTAACGGCAACAGACTCAAGGAGGCTAAGTGACTTGACAATTGCGTTTTTTTTTTTTTTAAGGCAGGAGCCAGAATATGAACCCAAGTAGTCAGATGCTTGAGCCTATGGTCCCAACCACTGTATCCCACAATATTCTT